GGCGGGGGGCAGCAGGCACCAGGGGAGCTGACATGGCAGCAGAGGGAAAAGGTAGAGGTTTAAAAGTATTTATTAATAACTTGGGTGACACATCCAAACAATCCACATGAACTCAATACTGGTGCACAACACAAAATTCATTTTGCTCATGTGAGGAAACTCTTAGGCTATGTCCACACTGGTTGTTTCTTGTGCAAGAACACATCCACTCTTCCATGTGTGAGCTGTGCTTTTGCACAAGAGCATCTATGGCAGTGTGGACACTCTCTTGCGCAAGAAAGTGCCAATGGCCATTTTAGCCATAGGGCTTTCTTGCTCAAGAAATTCATGTTGCCTATCTACACTGGCCTCTTGGCAAGAATAGTTGCTCAAAGGGGCTTATTCCTGAGTAGGAGCAGCGTAGTTCTTGTGGAAGAAGCCCTGATTTCATACATGAGAACGTTAGTGTACTTGCGCAAGAACACACGGCCAATGTAGACAGGCAGCAAATTTTTGCACAAAGCGGCCGCTTTGGCGCAAGATCGTGCCAGTGTAGACACAGCCAAGGGGAGGGAGGAAGGCAGGGGCAGGGAATCAGCATTGGCTCAGCATGTCTACATGGTTTGGGGGAAGGTGCAGGGAAATTGAGCTCAGCTGGGTTGCAGAGTGGGGAGGTCTGGGGACTGCACTGGATACTGCACCCAAGAGATCCTACACTGACATGCCACCTCCTAGGCTGCTGACACTGCCCCCATTCTCGGCACCAACAACTACAGCACAGCTAGACACCATCATGGCCGGTTTTGCAGGGCTGGGATTTCCAAACTCCAGAGGAGCGCTCGATAGAATTCACATTCCCATCCGTGCACAACCCCATCGAGCTGCCCGGTATATCAACAGAAAAGGGTACTTCTCCATTATGCTGCAGGCCCTGGTTGACCACCGTGGACTATTTACGGACCTTTGTGTGGGGTGGTCAGGCCAGGCACATGATGCTCGGATCTTCCGCAATTTGCACCTGTACGAAAGGCTGCAGACAGGAACCTTCTTCCCGCAGCGAACCTTTGCTATTGCAGAGACGCCGGTCTGCATTATGAAGCCATACGCTGGGCATCTGACCCCGAGCAGGGAAGTGTTTAACGCGCACCTGACACGTGCATGTTTACAGGTCAAATTCGCATTTGGCCGGCTGAAGGGAAGGTTTAGGTGCCTGCTAATTCACCTTGATATGGGGGAACACAATATCCCAGAGGTGGTGGCAACATGTTGCATCCTCCACAACCTGGTGGAGAGCGAAGGGGAGGCCTTCCTCCCAGGTTGGGGGCTAATGGCTGAAGAGGAGAGGAGGTTTGCGCAGTCTCGGACAGCTGCCGTTCGCCAAGCCCCTCAGGTGGGATTTCGCATCTGGGAGGCTCTGTGTGAGAGCTTTTCACCTGGAACCCAATAGTGCCTGTGGGCCTGGGCTCTCCCGTCCCAAAACCTTCCCTCCCACAATCCATCCCCGCATCAGCCTGCAAAAATTTAAGACACACACACCAGGTTAAAGATGAAAAATATAATGTTTATTAAGTAGTAAGAATAGAATGTTGAAGTGTTATGAAAATAGAATTGTTAAACAACTGTTACAAAATAAACTTTGTGTTGAACTTTTACCCTGAGTTTTAACTGGGGTGGGAGGGGGGATGTCAACCTGGAGGGGTGGAGGAGGAAGGGCAGACAGCTTAAGGGTCCTGGCGATATCGCCTGGGCCGAAAGACTTTGCCACCTCCTCGTGTCCGTGCACCCTGACGTCCTCGGGCTTGAATTGGGGCTCCAGAGGCTGAGGGAGGGAAAGGGGGGGTAGGGGCTGGATGGACAGGAGGAGTCCCCAGTGGGAGAGGACATGGCACTCCACTGGAGGAGATACTCAGTGAGCAGGTGATCATGCCAGCATGCTCTCTCTGCCATGGTCTCTTGGATTTTTGCCATGGTCCCCTCCATCTTCTCCATGGCATCGACATGCCGCCGCAGGAGGTCACTGTAGGCCCTCCAATGCCTGCGGGTGCTATGGGACTGGGTGGGTGGTGGCACCGGTGTTGCCCGGCGGTCAGCTGCAGCAGGTCTGGCTGTGGAAGAGAAAAGGGAGAACCAATCACTGTTAGGAATTCACACACAAGTCCTTAAAACAAGGAATGGGAATGTTATTATTGTAAGGCCACGTCTTGCTGCACAGGGGCCACCTTCACCCCTTGCATCCTCTCCCTCTCCACCATGGCCGTCCAGGCCAGGTAAGTGTGCAGCCACGGTGGGACAGGGGCCTGCAGCACCGTGGGTCTTCCATGGCCTCCACCCACATACATACCACCTGCCCGTCCGCTTACACATGCGCAGAGAGATGCAAGCTGTCCAGGAGGACCAAGACGTGCATATTGCTCTGCATCCTCTCTGCTCCCACCTCTCCCGTTCTGTGTCTGTGACCCTGACTGCACTCACCTGATGTTCCTTCACCTGGGTCGGAGGATGGCTGCAAGGCTTCCTCTGTGTCCAGGACAGGCTGCAGGATCAGGGTCACAGTCTCCTGTGTCTGCTCCTCCTCCTCCTCCTCCACATCTTCCTGGGGGACCTCCTGCCATCTCTGCTGCACCGGTGTGGGCAACCCAGTCTGGACGAGCACCGGTGCAGACATCGGTTCCCGGCCTCCGAGGATGCGGTCAAGTTTACTGTAGTAGGCACAGTGCACTGGGGCTGCACCTGATGAGGACCATTGCTCTCGGGCTTTCATGTACCGCTGGCGCAGTTCTTTGGCCCGTACCTGTTGCAGGGTCCTGGGGTGATGCCCTTTATCAGCCAGCCCCTGGGCCACCTGGGCATGGCATTGACTGCTTCCTCCTCCCACACATTTCTAACGATGTCAGGACCTCTGGCCCTGACCAGGCTGGGACTCTTTTTTTCCCCTGCTGCAGGCACTTGGGCTGGCTCCCTGGAATGTCCCTGGAGGCCTCGTGGCTCTGCAGCTCCAGACATGGCACTGTGACAGTGAAGCAGGGAGAGCAGTGTGGTCATAGGCATGTTCTGTGGCCAGCTTCCTGTCTGAATGCCTAGCAGAGGTGTCTGTGCCTTTAAAACATGGCTACAGACAGCAACAAGAGGTTTTCCCTAAAGAAAGACTGTCCAGAAGGGGGCTTCCCCTGGAGGTCTTTCTCTGACAACAAAAGAAACCCCAGTGTCCAGACTACGCTTTTTGTCGACAGAACTCTGACAACAGAAACGTTATGCCTCGTAAAATGAGGTTTACCGGCGTTGACAAAACTGACGCGTTCTGTCTACTTACTGTCGACAGAACGCGTCAGTAGTGTGGACGCAGGTTTTGTTTCATTGACAAAAGCCCAGTTTTGTCAACAAAACTATGTAGTCTAGACACACCCATAAACACATTAGAACAGGGGTGGGCAAATACAGGTCCATAGGCCAGATTCAGTCTGTCAAGGTTAGCCTCTGATGGGCTCCCACATCGCCATATTTACCTGAGCCTCTGCAGGTACACAAGATTACAGCTCCCATTGGCTGCAGATCACAGTTTCCAGCAAATAGGAGCTGAGATTCCCCATGCCAGCAGAAGCGCAGATAGATATAATGGCAGTGGCCCACGAGGGGCTAACTCTGGTGAACCACTGCCATTTTATTGCCCACCACTGTGTTAGAAGGTGTTTGCTAATATGTGCAAACTAGCATGTTATAAAATACTACCATACAAAAAGCAGCATGGCCATACTATGCTGCATGAGCTCAAGTCTACAATGCCTTTTTTATACTAGTGTCTTGAATGTATTTGTTCATTGTTTTAAAAAAACACAATTAATTTCTAGTCAAAACAAACCCACTAACGACTGCAAAGTGCAACAAGTTGGCAAATGCCAAGTGATTTTGACTATTCCAACCAAAGACTTTTAAACACTGACTAAAAGTCCCTTTTCTTTTATTTAACTTTCATTCATCTCTTGTGATGTCACAATTTCTCTTGTTCTGCATTATGATGAGGAGTCTTCAAGCCAAAACAAGTGCTAAGTTTCTAATGAGGAAACCAACAAGGAAAATTTAAAACAACAACAAAAAAAATCCAAAACAAAACCAAAACAAATCAACAAACATTTCTCCTCTACCTTTGAGGGTCACTTTTAAAAATTTTAGAAGACCATCTGCTAGGTTTAATATAGTAGCCACCTTTGAATTTCTTATTATTAATTGTTCCATATAGTTAAGTTAGAGAAAAACTAAAAGATTTTAATTTGGCTTGTTCACATGGCAGAGATTAATAGTTTTCTTTTACATTCAACACTATTTCCAGTGTTTCTCTAAATATATTTTTCCCTTTAAAAAGCTTCTGCAATTAAGCTACATTATAAAGGTAGATCCTGCTCCAACGTGTTAGCCAAAGTACTCTTCTAGGAAGAACGAGAGCTGATACGCAATCAACTGAAAGATTATTGAAATTTTCTGATGTACTATAACCAAAATACAGGAAAATAAGAGGCGGTTTCACAAACAGAATTAGAAAAACAGTACTTGTCTGAGAGTTATCCAAATTGCTGAGGTTGTGAGAATTGAAACATTTGGATGACATGCAAATAAAGCTAAAGCTTTGCACAAGAAAGCCTCCACTGCTTATCCTATAGGTCTTTAGGAAATAGCTGATACTAAAAGAACAGATGGATTTTAACAGAAATGTCAATTTTACAGATAGAAAACCAATTTGCTTTAGCATCAGAGCATTTTGCAATATTTTGATAGTTAGCATTAAAAATAACCGACAAATTTTCAACACAATTTGATCAACTTAGTAACAGAAAAAGCTGTATGGGAGTTTTTATTTCCCTTCGAAAAAATATGCTATCTTGGCATGAACTTCTCTAAATAAGTCTTAGAAGCCACTTCAATTTGCAATTTTATTTATAACAACTGCTTCAAGATATAGTTAAAATGTTTACTACATTCTTGCCAAAGATCTTCCTTAGCATGATGCAACTGTAGAATAACTGGGGATCCTTGTGCTAGCAACTAAGTCAGAGGATCAAATTGCTATCTTGCAAATGTCCTCTGGAGAGACTTTGTTAAGGAAGGGTGTGGTGAAAACCACTGCTATGGTGGAATGCGCAGTTATGATACTTGACGGTTGCTTGTTATTCTTATCAAATGGAAGGTCTTCAACTTTCTACTGCAGTTCCCTTGGGATTCCTGATGCTTGGGGCCAGGAGATTCTAAACATGACAATGGCCGTTGCAGTAGTATAGGCCACCAAGTCTGCTACATCCACTGCTGACTGCAGAGTGGTATGGGCAACGGTACGGTCCTTGTGAAACATACTAGGGAGCTGGGGCCATTTTTGCTCAAGCAAGTACTCAGAGCACTGCTGAAGTTTGGAGTAGGTGCTATAGTTGTAGTTGGCAAGCATTGCTGAGTAGTTAGCAACCCTCACTTGTAAAGTTGCTGATGAACAGACTTTTCTACCCAGGATGTCTAATCTCTTATGATCTTTATCCTGGGAAGGAGACCTCATATTAAGGTGCTTTGCTTTATGCTGGACTGAGTCCGCAACTAGAAAACTGGGTGGTGGATAGAAGAATAAAAAGTCTATCCCCTTGACAGGGACAAAGTATTTTCCATCAGCCCTTTTATTAGTGGGTGTGACAGATGCCAGTGTCTGTCATATTATTGGCAGGGTCCAGGATGGCCTCATCCATAAGAAGAGCAATCCTGATCAAGGTGGCAGGCTGAAGAGTGTGTATAAGCCTGTATTGTTTTTCTTGGAGCTTTTGCAGACGCCGTTCCTGTGCTGAAGTCACCCTCTTGAACAGGTTTTAGAAGTGTTTGATGTCATCTGTCAGAGGTGGTGGTGGGAATTATAGCTTCATCCGGGAATGAAGAAGAGTTGTGGAGATCCACCCTCACCCTTGGAGAGGGAGTCCTCTTCTTCTGACTGCAAATGCTCAGGGGAATTCAGTGCTGTGTCCCAAGGTGTAGGTTATAGGTAATGTGATCGTCTTTTGGCTGGTGTGGAAGGAGCAGTGTGATGGCTTCTATGAGAGGACCAGGTGTCCCAGGGATGCTATTGGCCCAGGTAAGAAGGCACCAGCTATGGCTAATGATGACAATACCAGTGAGGTGGTGGTGGACCAGGTAGTGGTCTTGTTGAATGGGACTCCCATGGAGGATGCCTCGCGCAGGACTGAAATGGTATGGGGAGAAACAGCTATGCTGTCTTGTGTTAGCCTTGCTAGCTAAGAGACAGCAATGGAGCTGGTGAACAGGCTAAATGTATTGAGTGCACCAAGGATGCTGGTGAACGCAGTGCCAAAGAACTGTGGGTTTTTGGTGCTGTAGAGAAGGGCTACTCAACTTTGGAAGCCTCGGGAGCCACAATGATACTCATAGCACATGCCGAGGGCCACAACTTAAGTGTGGTTGCATATATGTGCAAATATATGCAAATAGCTTCTTTCACACAGATGGGCATGAATACACAGATTAAGGCAAGACTACATAATATGCAGGCTCCATTTAAGTCAGTTCTGCTGATATTAATAAAATGCAATATTTATCCAATTTCCACCTATATGACAGCACTTGTAATGAGCAATGACAGTCCAGGAATTTAAACTAAAATGCATATCAACAGAACACCATTATATTGACTCACTGTTGTGGAGCATGTTCCCAGTGGAGGTCATGTTCAAAGGATCCCACCCATGAGCTGTGTGTTGAGCACCTGCGTAAACCCAAACAGCTCCGTGAGCTGCAAGCAGATTGGCTGCAGGCCGCATGTGGCCTGCAGGCCACATGTTGAATAACCCTGCCATAGAATGTCTGGGACGGTTTTTCAGCTGTGCTGTAGTTTTGGTGCCGAGAATGGAGGCAGTGTCGGCAGCCTAGGAGGTGGCATGTCAGTGTAGGATCTCTTGGGTGCCATATCCAGTGCAGTCTTCTGTGTGGATCTATGATGTTTGGTCGGCTCAGTGGTTGGTGGTGCTGATGATACCGATGACTTATATCTGGGTTCAGAGTGGGCCCCCTTATGTGGCTCCAATTGTTTAGGTGGTGCCGTGCCTGAAGTGCCAGGCTTGTCTCCTACGCTCACCCTGGATGAGCTTGGTGCCAGAGGCAGCGATTTATCAGAGAAACCTGGACTTTCACTTTTGCTTTGTCAGAAGTAGAGGGACAACTTTTGTCCATGCCTCTGGTCTTGTCCATGTCCTCGGTTCTGGAAGGAGTGTTGTCGCATGGTGGTTGTAATGATTCCTCATACAAGAATGTTTTGAGCCTGTTAGCACAGTCCCGTCTGGCTCTGGCCATGAGGTTCAAGCAGTGTGAACACACTTCTGTACCATATATACCTCTCCTAGGCATCTGATACAAGAAGAGGGGCCACTTGACCCTGGCATCACTTCTCGACAGGAGTCTCAGAATTTAAAGCCTAGAGAGCCAGGCATTTTGATCAAGAACTGGTTTTTTTTTTGGGGGGGGGGGGGGGGAGGTTTGGGGGTGTGTGTGTGGTTTTTTTTAAACTAACAGGGAGCGGAGGAATCAAAAACTTGGACATGAGAGAAAATTGAGGGAATTTAGTATTTTTTTGTGTCTCAGGTAGAAAAAAGGAGACTGAATGGGAGCTCCATCTGTTGCCAAGAATGGTAGAGAAGGAACTGTGGTGCCACATCGGTGCCTAACGGACACCAGCAGCAGGGGGAGACACTACTGCACATGTCTCTAGCCGGGAACTGCTAGAAAAATCTTTGGTCGCCAGCCTAAGGCTACACCAGCATCTAGACTGAAGCACCCTCAGGGATATCATTTGAAGAAAAAGTGTTGGTACACTATCATACATTTAATTGTCATCTGGAACAACTTTACAACAGACTCGTCAGTTACAATACTTTTATTCCACCACAAAGAGTGTGTCCAAAACAGTTATTTTTTAGGATTTTAGTATTGTAGCACAAGTTATGCATCCTAACAATCTGCACCAGAGATATGAATGAGTAGTCAACTAGTTGATTAGTTGACTAAGGATGTGAATGAGTAGTCCATTAGTTTCCCCTCTTCAGAGGCAGCAGCACAGGGAGAGGGGCAGGAGAGACTGTCACAAAGCCGCTTCCGGCAGCAACCTCTGTCCATGACATGGGCCCATCGTGGATAGAGACTGATTCATGATAGCAGCCCCTGTCCACGGCACGTCTGGGCCAGCTGCAGGTAGAAGCTGCTTTGTGTCAGCGGCCCCTATCTGTGGGGTGTCCAAGCCCCCTGTGGACAGGGGCTGCTGCCAAAGCAGCCTCTGTACGTAATCAGCACCGGCAATGCTGTGGACAGAGGCTACTTCACAGCAGCCTCTGTCTGTGGGGAACTCAGATGCCCGCAGACAGAGGATTCTGCCATCCCACGCTGCTGCCTCTGTATCAATGGCAGCAGCGTGGGGATGCAGGTGGCTGGACCATGAGGAAAGTTGGTTTGTAAGCTGGTGGCCATAGAGGGCTCTGCTGCATCTGCCTCCCCAACTCTGATGTATGACAGCTCCAAGCAGAATGGTGATGGGATGGAGAGATGAGCTGTTGTGGAAAGGGCGGAAGGTTATGTACGACTGCAGGTTTACCCTGAGATCTGGGCACTACTGGGTAAGCCTGGACAACACTGCAAGTGTCAAAATCTCCTGAGCAGCTTGGAGTGCTTCAGGCATTGACAGTACCAGAGGCAGGAGGCCCATCTCAGTTTCAGGGCTTCCTGGCATGGAACAGGATGGGCTGCATTGCTTGACATAAGCCAAGGCCAAACTTTCCAAAGGTGGAGATGAGCTGCCTGACATGGGTCTTAACTCACCCTCAACCCTGCCCTTCCTCTTGTGGGGAGTAGAAGACTGTCCTCTACTGGCCACGTTCGCCTTCTTGGCCAGGGCCACGGAGGGACATTAATGACAGCTTGTCAACAGTGTTGGCAGGACACTATGCCCTGAAGCCACAATGCTGGGTGCCAAGTTGGATCTCTGCTCCAGGGCTGGAATGAGTGCCAACTCCATCAGAAGCACTTTAAGACTGATTTCACACTTCTTATTCGTCCTAGCCTTAAAGGACTTGAAGATATGACACATGTTGCTTAGATGTCCTTTGCCGAGGCATCCGAGACTACTACTGTGTGTGTTTACAGCAATCACAGGGCCTGGGGACTGGGGCATGCCCCATTCCTCGCTTTGTCCCAGAGGGGACTAACAAAACTAACTACTGCTAAGGGCTAACTAACTCAATTACTAACTAAATACACTAACTTTGCAGAATACTAGTTGGTACAAATGAAACATAAGCAATGCTAGTAAGAGAAGCAAAGGTTCAATGCACTATCACTGGCAGCAAAAAAGAACTGAGGGTGGGGTGGGAGTGGGTAGCGCCCATTATACTGTGCCATGTGGGAGCCATTCCAGCTGTCACCAAAGCCACTCACAGTCAGTGCTGAGGAAGAAGAATTTGACACCAATGCATGTGGCAAGCACACACCCCAAATGTGGAATGGATGTGAGCAACACGCAAAGAAGAAACATTTTATTCTAATATTTTAACATAATATGAAGAAGTGTTGTATGGTGAGCAATTAAGAAAATTAGGTAATTTCTTCAAGAACTGTAATAAGGATTTAGAAGCATAACTTTACATGTCTATTTTTGAAAAAACTGATTCTAAGTGTATCAATGAAGTAAGATGGAAACCAAGCTGCATGTCAATTTTAGAACCCTCTAACACATCAAAAACTATACAGTTGCAAATGAATTAAACTGGCCTGCCAGGTGTTCTCTATATTACAAAATTATTTCTTGATTGCTCTGCTTATTGGTCAGCTGTACTCTTAAATCAAACGTTTATAATACAGCCATCAATAAATTCTGCATATTGTCTCAGATTAAATTTAACAAAAAAGGGAAGAGTCAGGGGTAAGGTAATAAAATACCATATATCCATTTATTAAGTTAACTAAAAATAGATACTGTTGTATCTTGAAAAATTTGAGTTTTCATTAGTTATTTAATTTACCAATTAGTAGACTGGAGAGAAAAATAGGAAGTCTCTTGAATGTCTGACTGTGGCCACCAAAACAAATGCAGAGTCTATGCACTTCAGAATAAAGATAACACGAAAATCAGAGCACATGCTGGGTTTTAGAAGCACAAAAAATTAAAATAATTGAGTCCCACTGCTAAAATCCTATACAAAAACATATAGGTTATTTACTGTTTCTTTTCCTTATAAATTCTAATCTTTCAAATAGGTTTTCCACCTGCTCTTTATACTCCAAAACATGACATATTCTAGGTATAACAGTGCAATTATGAAGACTATAAAAAGCTAAACAGAAAGAAGACTAGTTGAATAAAGTTTCCTTCTTTTATAAGTAAAGTTAAAAGAAAGCTGTTCTTTCTTATTAATACCATGATGATTAGTCTTATAATGGACATTTACATTTCTGAAGAGTTGAGCTTTTTAATTTTTTATGCTTTTTTTTTTTTTAAGGAAACAGATTTGAAATACAATCTTAATGTATTAGTTTGTCTATATTTAAATGTGTATACAAACTTATACCTACCTTTGATGTCTAAAAAACCAGATTTTAAAGATTTTGTCTAAACACTGTATTCTTCAAACACTTATATATCCAAAAACCAATATTTTCCAGGCACGATCTAAAAACACAAACAGACAAGTGAGATTGGTTTTAGCATAATTTTGTTCTTTAAAACAAACAACCAAACAAACCAAACAAACAAAAACACACACCACACAAAAAACAACCTCCCACAAGTACAAAATGAATAATGCTGTTAACTTACAATATATTCTTTTACTTTAATTCTTTAACTATTATAAATAAAATATTATGGTTTAATTTTTAAATGCATGAAATTCAAGAAATCTACAGTTATGACTCACAAAGCAATAACACCACTAGATTACAAAAAACAATACTGAATATACAGACCAGAAGATAAATACCGAAAGAAAATTAAACTATATCCAGTACAACTCTGGAGAATTAACATTTGTTAGAGTCAACCTTGAGAAGAGAAATCCTGAAATTACAAGTTGTAATTTTAATGGACAACTTTGTTAAAGAGCAAATGTAATCATAAAATGCTACTTGTTAGTATTTGCTCTTTCAAAAATAAATAAGGAGTCATTTAATACAATGGGTAGAATTCTCTGTATCTTCATTAGGAATGTTAAATATTGGTTAATTGAATAGTAGAGTAACTGCATGAATTCTTAGCAGATAGTGGACTATTCTATAGTCCCCAGGGGTGTGGCCAGCAGCCAGTGTGCTCCAGCCTCACTCCTGAGGAGTCCCCTGCCACTCTGTGCTGCTGCCTTTCTATCAGAGGCAGCAGCATGGGTGCCAGCTGGGAGATGGTCCGCGAGGGGAGCCAGTTTAAAAAACAGCTCCCCTTGCAAACTGGCTGCCTGTTGTCCTGTGCTGCTGCCTCTGATAAAGGTAACCATATTTTATAAATAGCAGTTGTTTTTGTAGGATTGGAGCCTATTATTGCCAAGTGTAGCTTGCAGGTGGACAACCAAACCTGTGGAAGTCCCCATTAATCACGTAAATAGAGCTCTGCATGAATCCAGTATCCTACCCACAAGATACTTAAGGCAGCATCACAGCCACCATGATTAAGTATATTTAACAGCAACTATAACAAACATTCTACATCTTTAAAGTATTCC